TCGTAAAATTACACCATGTATTATGGCGGTCGAGGTCATTTTTTCTGTAAGACACATTTCAAGAGAAGTGAAGAAGTTCCACAGGTCATTTTAGAAGCATATTCCCGTGTGGTTTCATGTTCACTATATTTGAGAATGCAATTAAATACGCATTTAGAGACTGCAACTTCCAAGACACCGCGAAACCAAATGCAAAGTATGTTCCTTTTCCCTCACTGTCCTCTTCTCCTAAAAATGTGATCTCACTCAAGTTTTCTGTTTGTGATCCAGTGACAAAAAATATGGCCCTTAAAGGACGAAGTTGGCGAACTCGAATTTAGGTCCCACAAAGCAGTCGATATTCCGAATGAACCAAAACATCTCATTTCTACATACTTTTTTTCAATTGCTTCATAAAAAGGGATACAGACCGATCGAAAAGCTAAAGAAGTCTTAGATATCATGTCAAATACCATGTTCATTAATTTATCACCATGTAATCAAAGAAAGAGCAATGGTTCTTAAACTGACATGCATCTAATCCTTTACCGCCAGGGAATGCAATCTCTCTCTCACTTCAAATAATAAAACAATTATTTGCTGTTTCATTACATTGACAATCTGAAAAAGTGATGCGGCTAAAAAGGATGAAAAGGATTAAAAGGATTACCGAGAGAGAGTCAGGCGATCGGATGAGGAAGAATATACGTCACTTTCAATGGAAAGTGTACCTCTTTGGATTGTTATATTGGTGTGATACACTCCACTTTTTTATTTTCCTGGATTTCAGGATGACTGTCCTTGGAAATTTCATTTAAACGTATTTATCTGCCTCCAGGGCTGTCACTTGGAAGTGAAACACTTTAGACACTCTTCGAAGGTATCAGATTAAGGACAATATATTTGGCAGCTAAGAGAGACACCTTTGGATGGTCATGTATGATCGGTGGCGTTCATTCTTTGTTTCCGAGTTTTCATGATATTTATTGCCAGCTTCATTTCTGTCACGTAATAGCCAACCTAAATGATTTTCTAACTAATCGATTCCATACTATATTAGACTAGCCGACCAGTGGAAGACTTCCACGAACTCTTCGGTTAGAAATCCCGAGTTCGTTCGGCGGCCCTAAACCTCTGGCCCTCTCATCGCTATAGACAGCAGTTCCTATTTCCCATTCTTCACGTGTCCCTACGTATAACCCTTCGAATCCCTTTTCATCCCGTTGAACGGAGGATGACTTCCTCGCCAGGGTGAGATTTTCGCCCTTACATCAGCACTTTTTCCTATTGATATCAACCCTGTTCGCTTCGTCCGTAAAGTCCATGAACATCCCCATCCCCCCATCATATTCACAGGGGTGTTCACGCCTACGATACGAACTCTTATCCGGCATCGATCTCGACGATGTGCATATCGTTTTTGAAGTCTATCTCCACCACTATTCATATAGGCCCATGAGTGAAACATGCGCTAGAGTAACGGGATGGTTACTACTCGGCCGACGGCGTCTTTCCGATCTAAGGGTTCCTGTTTCATGCAGGTGGGATCCCGCCGTTTTCACCCTCGGGAGTCACTCTCCTTGTGAGAATGTCGGTCAATAAATTGACGGATTTCTGATTGGTGTAGGGGTGGAGATCCCGATAAATATATTATCTGAAATATATGATGATATCTCATCCTGTCCAGGAAGTCATCCTTCCTTAAGGGATGAAAGGGGACTCCAGGACAGCTGAAACGTGGCATGGACGTGCCTGCCGACACGATGAGTTCAGGAAAAATGCAACATTTTAGATCCATGCCTGGGGGCTTATTTTTGGGGGCCGACGTTTTCAAGTATTTTTTTGTCTTGGCGTATTGAGCCAGTCTGGAAAGATGAAACTTGGTGCATAATTACATATTGGAATGCTGCATGCAGAAAAATTCAGACTTTGGAATGAAATGCCCTGGGGGCATATATTTCAAAGGGAGGAGTTTTCACATAATTTTTTGGCATCAGTTAAACCCATGGACATGGAAAGCTGGAAATTTGCATGAATGTGACTACCGAGACAAGGAGTTAAAGAAGAATGTTAAGTCTCGATACATCCTCTAAGGGGAATTTCTCGAGGGGCGATGTTTAAAAAAAAATATGCCGTGACGAATTGGACAGAAATGGAAAGGTGAAACTTGGCACACATATAAGTAACGTGACATTATTCAGTTAAGGGAGTATTCAGCTTTCATGGTGCATCCCCTCCAGGCATAATTTTTGGGTGGGTCGGCTTTTCCAAACATGTTTTTTTCAACAGCGAAAAGGCCAAACGTATAAGGTAGAAACTATGAGGACATGTAGTTCTCTGAGGATTGATTTCGGTATAAAAATGGTACTTTTCGGTTAAAACGCCGGAGGGCACATATTGGGTTGGAAAGAAAGTATTGCATCACTTTCTAAAACTATTTATGAACATTTTTAAATTAATGATGGGCGGGGCTTTGCATTTGTATATGCTGGAATGTTCTCGAAGCTTCTGCCCTCGGNTGGTCTCACGCGAGTCACGTTTGACTTTATATTTGAACGAACGGAGTGCAATAATCTGACCGGATAACGAGTTAATTTACGGGACGGACAACGCACGAAATATTCTCGCCACTCCATTCCCTCTCTTCCCCCTTTCGGTCCCTTTTCGAACCCCGTCGAGTTTGCGTTCTCACCCTTCGAAGCAAAAGCGATCGGTGAGATCACGTATTTCAATGGGGACGTACTTTAAATACGTGTTTCCTATTTCGCAAAAAATAAATGAATTAATCACTAACCACGGTAATGGAGCGCCGAAGGCGCGACCATTACCTTGGTTAGTGATTAATTAGTTAGTGATTGTATAGGTCTCATATTTGTCTGCACTAAATACGGTACCCCAGGGGAGGGCCGGATTAAGGGGTAGGCGACCCAGGCGACCGCCTGGGGCGGGGAAAGACGCTCCTCGCCTGGGGTACCATTTAGTCTTAGGCCGGCCCTAGAAACTAGGCGATAAGGGAGAGGAATGCACCGTCCAATGGGAGCCTACTTTATGGAGACGTCACTCAAAACGTCATGGCGCGGTTGTACGAGTTATGCTTCCTTTCCCCGAGCTTGGTTGCTTGGATGTGACCCTCTCAGGGCATAGCCCTTCATTCGGTCGCGCTGTAATTTGTAGGAATATCCAATAAGTATCCTTGACGATCTATATCCAAAAACCTGATCGGTTCCTGCCCTACTAATGGCAAGAGCAAGGAATCGGCTAAAGGCCTAACGTCATTAGGGTTTTTGTCACCGGAACATGTCATAGACAACAATGGTCATTACATTATAGACTGAAATTGCATTTCAATAAAGTTATAACATTTTGAAAAATTTGCGTAGTGTTGCAAGACTTTCTTTCCAACCCAATATATGTGCAACGTAGATTGAAGTCTGGCTAGTACTCGGCAAGGGTGCATATGAGTAACCAACAATCGCAATACGTGTTTTTCACATTTGTACCACTCCATTATTGTTCCTGCTTTGTCCCGAAGATCTCACACCTGCTGCACTCTGCCTAGATCGGGAAGTGGCGTTACCGACCGCAATTACTTCTCCCCAACTATCCAACACGGTTAACGGGCATATACTTGACAAATGCAGAGAGGTGTACATGTGCCAAGCCCGGGCTGGGTTGGCGCATGAACTCATAAAATGTCACATCAGGAAATCTTCAAGCTGGTCTTCAAAATGAGTTTTCTGGCATCCGTTGATTGTAGGCTTAGACAGCCTGGTTAGGATCTCGTCAGCAATAACATATTGCACATTCATGCTCTGCTAGAACCTTTTTTTCAAAAATAACCACGGGGAAAAATGCAATACATTGGATTTTAATGACGATGCCACGGACACACATCTTTCGCGACCACCCCGCCCGGAATGGATGGGAGGATGGAAGACAGAAAGCACGGAATGAGGCTTCTCTTGCGGAAGGAGGTTCCTTACAGTTTCACATCCGTGAAAATGTGCTTGAGACTCTTCCATTAGTGGTCCTGCTAGTTTATTGCTGTTCATGGCATGCCTGAAATATTGAGCCATTATTGGACGATATTCTTCTTTCAAAGCACGACGCCGTTACGTTATGAAGAATGTTATGCTGTTAGAGAAGAACATAGGTAATGTAACATCTTGCGCACGACAGTCATGGGAACATATAATGTTGCAATTTCGATATACATAGTGTTTTCACACCGTCATATTTTCGCAAAATCACATTGATAAAATAAGAAAATGGAATCCCATCATTACAAATTCTCTCCTTCCTTATCACACATACGCTCCATGGAGCTCATAATAATAGAAACGAAATAATTATGCAAAAAGCAATGGAAGGATGCTGACCTATTCTTCGAAATGAGTCAGAAACCCCTTTTTGACGAAATAGCCATCGACTCACTGGCAACATTTGGTCCCAGCCGTAAAGCGACGAGGTCTGAAAGAGCTAGTTCATGCGGACAGGGGACACGGTACCGTCGTTCGAGGGATTCCTATATTATACCACTACCCGAAAGCTTTATCAATAAATCCCTTTGGTCTTTCAAAGAACTGAGATAACTTGCGAATTATTTACAAAATGGCAGCGTTCAGAGGATCACATAGAAACCACTATTGGGGATTTCTTATAACTTATTGGCGAAGTCCTGAAAGTTTCGAAATTGGTATGGTGTCTATTATTACGTTTCTCTTGTGGCATGTAATGGAATAATAAGTGAAGGTATCTTGATCTTTTAATTTGCTCAACAGTATTATTAGACCACACCTGACGTAGTTCATTGCATAGATGCTCGGTCATGCGACTGATTAATGAGAATGGCTAGACAGGATAATGTAGCGACATCGAAAAGAAGCATGTGAACTCAGACATCGGGAGTTCAGCAGCAATGTAGGATTAAGGACAATACAACGTGCTTATCCTATCAGGTACAATCTGAGAAAAGGAAGCCATGTCATCTGATTCGAACAGCGAAGACCTCATTATAAGCATCAAAGAATTAAGCAAGAACAAGATTTGGATGACCGGGAAGGACTCGCGACTGTTATCGAGGAGATTTGTCGAGGGAGAACGTTCGCAGAGAATCTTCCATTGACGTTCCCAGGCGGATCGTAGTGAGCCACGACGTACCACGTCTTTCCGTCTTTCGTCAAGGCCTTCCCCAGTCCCAAACGCTGCGATTCTTTCCAGATCACTTGAGACCCTATCGTGGAATACGAGACGGATTTTCGATCGTTTGAATGAGTGCCATTTTAACAGTCGCATTGCAATTTCTTGGGACACACCGGTGCTCGGTCCATTCCTCTCTCGGTTCCGGAAATTGAAGGTAGAAAGTTGTTCATACCAGGAGTCCACGACTTCCTTCGGAATAATGTCACAGCCGTGGTTTTTTAGTTGGTACAAGCAGGAGCCAAGCTTCTCTCCTGGACGGTGCCTCAATCCCTGGTCCTCTTTCGCCAACTTTTCTGCCCATTCTTGACTTTGCTTGCTCAACTGCATGGTTAAGAAATTAAGAACTGATGTACAACGAGATATCGAAAAAAGAATCTCTCCGTACGGCTTTGTCGAGAATTAGCGGAGGCGCTCCGTGGTTCTTCCGATGATGATTATGCTGCTCCAACATTCCTCTTTTGAAATCCACTTTTCGAGCTAGAAGGGTCCGATCAAGGGTCAGGACAAATGCACCTTTCACTCGGTTTCGTAGTGAAAATGGCTAAGACCTCACAGACGACTTTTCCCCCTGTCTGAGAGAGCGGTCGAGGAACGTAGGTTTCGTTGAAATACCCGCTGACATTCCCGGGTGGATCGTAATTGCAGACGACGTACCAGGTCAGACCATCTTTGGACTTCGCTCTTGCGACCCCCAATCGACGGCTCTTCGTCCACACCAGCTGCGTGAAGTGCCCTATATGTAAAAGAAATTGCACTATTGCTGTATCCTCATGAGTCTTCACAAACACCCTTACAAAAGTCCTCCCGCATCCACGTCGTTGAACGAGAAGTTGGACAAGAGGTGGATTTGGAACCAAGTGGTTGCCCCACCTCGTGAAAATTCTCCTAGTTCCAGATACCCTTCAGGGTGGACGAACTGTGTGGGAAATAGAGAAGCACTAACCGGTTTCCTCCGAACATTTCGTTCCAAAAGTGTAGAGATGGATTTCGTTGTACCAAGCGTCTACGGCATTATTGGCCTTCACTGGAACTCTATCCGTCGATTTACGCATGAACAGATTCTCCCCGTATTCTTTTCCATCCTTTCTCCCCTCATCCGATCGGTGAACCATTCGATTCCATTCGGCCAGCTGCCGTGCCCATGCCAGACTGTAAACGTTCAACTATGGAACATCATTTATTTATTATTTCATTCGTTATAATACAGGTAGGCTTTTGAAAAATAAGACGTGGGAGGGGCGTGATCCTTGTCTTTGCTGAGCTCGATTCAAGTCCATTTCAACGGTATAATAATTTAAATGCAAATATACATACAATTAAAATTAAGTAAGCAATGGGTTAATGTTTTCATGTCATACGCTAATCTATGTCATGGTTTTCCCTTTCAGATGGCGTTCGAATTAGACTAAGACGCAGGTATACATATAGCGAAGGCTAACAAAACGCCCTTTGGCAGACTAACCTCCTTCGAAAGGGACAATGGGGGAGAGCCATGCCTTGCCCTGTAGTCGTTGTGAAGCCGCAGGACTTCATTTGCGAAGGTCTTTTCGGACGATGGGGCCATGGCTGCAGAGAGGTTTTTATCGGTTCACGACTTGGCATCCAAATATAGATCGGCGGCTGTTATGAATCTGGAAAATACCGACAAGCTCCTCTCAAATCGAAGAGACTGGACTAAGGCAAAAGGGGCTTAGTTTCTACGGAGCTGAAATCAGAAATAATTTGGCACAGCAAATACAGTACCGATACTAAGTCCTTGGCGGTCCCTTTTACTTGTAACGCTGTAGAGTTCGAGGGCCCAGTTCGCAAATGGACAGCAAAGGACTGAGTAAATTAGTGTCACATGGAATCATTACTGATAAGACGCTGACATAAGTTCCCAGGGATGTTTGACCTACCACACTCAGTCCATTCCCCCCAAAGTATTTTCTATCCTTTCTTTGCGTGATTTTCTTCAATGAAAAAGAATCATGCATTGAAGGGTTAATAAGCGTTGAAAAAGAATAATAGCAACCGAAGCTATGAACTTTAATGACCTATTAATTACACAATGATCGCACTCTGACAGATCTGTGCCCGTTGACAACTTTGATCTACTCATCAAGATATGTCGATTGACACCTGTTTTGGTTTGTAACGGGGGGGGGGGGCAGCGGTTCCTTAGAAAGTTGGCATCCTCCTTTCCGCGCTTCATCTGGCACTGGATGGAATAGAAAATTGCTGGGAAGGTTAAGTCAGCGAAAAATAGACCCAGATATGAGGTACGACAAATATTACATCCCTCTCGCAAAAGTGGAAATTGCTGTAAATAGTTCCTCCCTTATAATGCTCCTTTCAAAAGGGAAGAAAGTGTTTCTGACAGCGATGAGCAGTAAGAGGGAGGATATGAGTGCTGAGGGAGAGATATTTCCAGGTGGAGGTGGGGAAGACTGCCAATAGCCTTCGATCACATGCGTACGTATCCCGTCTAGGCTGATCTTTGTTTTCTGCCACGAAAACCATTCTTGATGTTCATCGGGGATGGTGAGGCGGAAGCCTATTATCTTATTTCTTTGTCAGGTGTTTGCCTCAACGGAGATAAAACTTGACTAGATATCTCTAAAATGACTTACATGGAAGCCAATGAGTCACATGTAATAAATTCATCCAGATTGGTGGTATGCATCAGTATAGAAATAGATGAAACCAAGAAAACCGTTTTGAAATATCTTCCAGAAGCATAGTAGGTAAGAAGGTAGAAGGTAAGAAGTAGACTCAACTGCCAACTCATCCCGGTCGTCTCCTTTTTTTGTGGCAACAAACGAAAACGCACAGATCGCTCTGAGTCCCCAGGAGTGAGTTACAGAGGTTACGATTTTTTCATATGAGAACAATACCTGTGCTATTGCCATAGACTATTACCATACACTATTGGCTTCTTGATTGAGCAAGCAGGAAAATGTCGAATGTGCTGTTTAATATTGCAAGGTGTAATGTCCCTAGAAAACTGGTTCGGTGCGTCTTTACTTCCTTGAAATTTAGAATAAACTTCAATAACTGAAACTTTTCACTGCGACCGCTTGCTTTAACCTGTATCGTACGGACTCAAAATTCTAGGTTTATCCTCCCAACCGGCGTTTTCATCAAGGATTTCAAGGAAACCTGTCTGCTCGAAGTTTCATATGCTCCCTATATTAGGGATACAAATCTGAAATATGAAATGCTTTGTTCAAGAAATTTCAGAAATGTTGTGTTTCACAGGTGAAACGACAGTAAACAATTTCACAAATATGTACTTAACATTTAACGTCATTGCAATATCACGTGCCATTTAGAATGTCGAAGAGGGTTCATACTTTCCACAGCATGTCATAATTCTTGTCGTTTTGGTCAAGCTCGATCTCATGGTCAGTGAAGGGAAAGAACCTAAGAATGTGAACAAAACTGTCACTAGACATCGTGTTGCCTTAAAAAGGAACGTAGAATTGTTTGTCGCTCAGTAGTCTTTGAGAGAGTCGCTTTGGTCGTGTCCCATTCGTATTGTTAGTACCAGAAAAAATTACATCTCTTGAGCAGTCACGACAAGTGTAGATGTTTGTCTTGGGTTAGGTGTGCGTATGTAATGATGGTGGTACATGTTTTCTCATCCACTAGCAATCTGGAAATGACGTACGTAAGCTTATGGTGAAATACAACGGGTAGTCTCGGGACTTTGGTGATGTCTTGTATCTTCAGTCCAGTAGGTCCTCCAGCAAAAACTATGAACAGTTGCTCCACTCCCGGTCCTCGTATATGTCCACGTCATACTTTGTGTATCGTTGTCATTGTTACTGTCATTTTAACTATCTGCGAAGTCACTGTCGTCTGGTACACTGACTAGTGCAAGTTCTTCATCTAAATCGCTGTCCGTATCCTACTCATCCATGATGCCATCATCGGCCATCACACGCGCACGTTTGGCGGACATGGTCCAACGCTTACCCTTCTCTGTATTTTCAAAAATGCCTGTACACTGGAACAGCACTCATATTATCAACGCACTGCCGTCGATAGCTCTCCGTAGAGTGAAGGAAGTGGGGCCTGATGAATAACATGTGTGAAACGGAACACTCCCCTATGTCTCCAAAACAGTCCTCATCATTGCGGTTTTGTTTATAGAAACCTTAAACAGTTTTCTATTCGTTCCTTAGGACAGTCGTCGAAAGCAAGTGAGAGGAACAAAAAAATAGAACGTCATTGCTGGGCACTAAATAGCTCAGGCCGGCTAAAATCATGTTCACAAGACTCGTCTAAGATAGCATGCCACTTGTGCCGTTCTTGCACTAATCCTCATTAGTCCGAGTTCTTACTCGTTCCGTACGGCGTGCTGGACTGCATACTTTGCTCAAAAATCCAATGGACGTCGACAATGAATTTTTTTTACCGTCGTATTCAGTTTCATCATCCATCATGTACAGCACGAGCATGTACTCGGCCTTCCCTTTGACAATGTGAAAATGCATTCTATGGCACAGCAGCTGCTGCATTTGTCCGATAAATATGATATATCCTAGTCATTGCTGAAATTTTTTATCCTGTGTCCCATCTTTAATTGGGCCAAAATGAGAAAATCGCAATGGGACAAGGCCTGTGGGTTTTAGCAGTATCTCCAACGAATCACACATGTCAAAGTCCCAAGTATTTCGCGCGGTTTGGTGCAGTGCATCTTCCTGCTGTTCAATGACAGCGTTCTTATTTTCAGGATGCTTACAATTAAAAGGGCTTTAAAGCTCCAATGCCAATATGTCTTGGTTGGCATTCACAGGTCCACCCCTCAAAAGATGGTCATCATGTTAAGTCCATTTTATAAATATGTATTGACTGCGAAACACGATTATTCTGAACTTCTTCAGTTCATACGTTACTCATGAGACGCAATCGCTCAATTTACTTCCAACTCATCGGTGTTGAGGAAGGGATCATTCGAATTATAGTGACTCGTCTTTCCTAGACAAAACATTCCGACCTAGTTTGGCACCTTCAGTTGTTAATCAACTTGAATGAAAAATGAGTTTGCTATGGACATAATTGGTCGACCTACTTCGTCCTCTTTGGAAAGGTATCGACCAAGGCAGTCCTTACCAACGGATGGAGGCAAAACGCTAGCACGAGATTTGAATGATCACTTTCGTGGTGCGCCTTGAATTATTGAGGGATTCACTAATTGTCACGCTCCTTTTCCCGATTCAATCGATTTGAGCGCAGCGCCTGTGTTATTGGACAAGATAACCCATGCCTGCCATTCACCATTTGAACCCTGAGCAATAAGTACACCTTGTAATGAACGAGTATCGCGACATTGACACTCACGTGGCAGATGGAATGCAGCTGGCATCCACGCAAATACTGGCTTCAAGTTTTATCAGTTACCTTATCAGCGGAGAATTGCATGGAAACTTAATGGCGATTCTGCGATGAATCACTCTCAAGCGCTCTCTATCCACGTCGTAATATACATGGTATTGCCATGAAAGTGTTAAATAGGTAAATACTTTAATGGATGCAATGGTCAGTGACGCATATTGAGCATCTTTCCGTGAACTCCTTTTGCAGCAGGTCAATTTCAAGTCGTAAATGCCGGAGTACGTTATGCATTCAAAGCAAAATTAGGCGAAGTAAACATAATTAAAATATACATATAATATTGACTTTTAAAAGGGTACCATGTGACTAATAAACGTTATTTGCAAATAATTTCCCTCTTGTATCATGATACTTGTATTTTTTATCGACAACCACAGCAAATCAGTCTGCACAGTAGAGTATTAGTGTTTTATAAACTCATCAAATTCAGCTGTCTCTTGGAATTATCCTTGGGTATCTTTCAATTCATTGCAAGATTTTTTTTTCCAGCCGTTCATTTCATACCGAATTCATGGTGATGATCCCCATGGAAAATGGAGCTGCTTCCAGCAATGATTCGGAACAAGTAATTCAAATGGTCATGTGACTGTTTCATATTCTCGGAATCGCGATGATGTCAACGCTTATAATCCTGTCGTTATGATGACATGAAATTACAGACAGGTTGAAGTATTCTCAGAGAGATGATGTACTTGTACGCGATGACCTGGACCCTGAACCGGAAGCAGTTGCGCAAACGAACAATTTCATTCGAGACGGGATGTAACGTCATTCTACAGAACATTCCTGCACGATTTATGGTCTAGGGAGAAGATATTGAGATTACGAAGTTGAAGAGATCCACGTCGAAAGGGCCTCGGCTTTCGGGATCAAAATCGTTAACTCCAGTGTCGCTCCCTTTCTCGGGAATTGCTCACTCTTTTCCGCCTGTAACCTAAATGCGTGGGTTCAAGAAAGGAAGGCCGGACCGTTGCAGGCGTGGAAATTGCTTTCAATTGAAATTGGTAGGCATTTCCGGAGGCATTCCCATTCCTTTCTGATAAGAAATGAGGGGACTGAAAAGACGAAGCTTTAGATGATATACTATATTCTCTTCAACTTTTGGGTGACATAGATGGATTCGAGGTAGAATATTCAAAATAAAGCGTTTCGTATTAAGGCTTCAAATGCGCACACCTTTGTCATACATAGAGAGCTGAGTTGCTGTTCTTTTAACTTATACACAATATGGGGGCTTTCAAAGGACCACCTAAGAACCACGATTGGGGGGATTTGTTATGACTTGCTGTATATTAGTCTGGAAGTTTCGAAATCGGTAGAGTGACTGTTATCAAATTGCACTTGTAATGTAGTGTGATGATCTTTGAAGGTATCTTGCTCTTTTAACTTGCTCCACAGGAATAATATATCATACTTGACGAACCTGATTGCATAAATGCCCCATCTTCAGATTGTTTTATGAACATGCCTAAACAGGTTAATATAGCGACATCGAAGAGAAGCGTGTAAACTTAGGCATAAGCAGTTCTGCAGTATTCCAGGATTAAGAGTAACATGTAATGCTCATCCAATTAGGTTCAATTTGAGAAAAAGGGAGCCGTGGCACCTGATTCGAAAAAATATATATTTTGAACGGCAAAGGCCTCATTATAAGCATCAAAGAATTAAGCAAGAGCTAGACTTGGAGGATCGGGCAGGTTTCGCGACTGGTCTCGAGATTTGTCGAGGGAGGACGTTGGCAGAGTATCTTCCAGTGATGTTCCCGGGAGGATCGTAGTGAGCCACGACGTACCACGTCTTCCCGTCTTTCGTCAAGGCCATCCCCAGTCCCAAACGCTGCGATTCTTTCCAAATCACTTGAGACCCTATCGAGGAACACGAAACGGAGTTTCTTTTGCTTGAGGAACTAATTTCATCATAATGAACTTATAGCTGTTTCGTGTAACACACCTGTGCTCGGTCCATTCCTCTCTGGGTTCCGGAAATTGAAGGTAGAAAGGTGTTTATACCAGGAGTCAACTACTTCCTTCGGGATGACGTCGCAGCCGTGATTTTTTAGTCGGTACAAGCAGGCGCCGAGCTTCTCTCCTGGACGGTGTCTCATCCCCCGGTCCTCTTTCGCCAATTTGTTCGCCCATTCTTGACTTTGCTTGTTCAACTGATGGGTAAGGAATTTAACCGGAAGGGTGAAACGCAGTAAGAAATGTTTCATCGCGCCCTCAATGGTTTATCGTCGACGCGTAAGTATGCCTAAGTGTGGCTATGACTTGCAAATGGTTGATGTACGTCGGCTTATGGTCGGGCATGTCCTGTTGCCCCTTCATTGAGCCACCTTTGGTTCATTGTTGGGAAACCGAGCATGCGCAACGATGAGCCGACTTTTCAAAATAGTGAAAGGATATAGGAAAAAATAAATTCTACATATCTACAGCATTAGGCATCATTTGGCGCCCTACAGCTCTTCATTTAGGATTAATGAAAGAGCGCCACCATGAGTAGACTTCTATTGCGAAGAGCCGCGAATATCCAGAGCCAACATCCCTTCCACATGCTAAGGTTTCCAGTACCGAAAATGCATGGAATGAAAAGGTATCTGTCCTCCCGCAGGAGGCTAGGCACGCCTTACAACCTTACCGATGTTTAATCATGTAATAAAAAAGGCAGCGTAGTTCATCCTGGAAAGTAGGAACCTCTCACTGACCCCCGGGCCGGAATTTCCTGGTTTATTCCAAGGCTAATTTGCATCTTATCGGAAATGTTTTAACCCTTTCAGACCTGGCGTCCATTCCAATGGACATTGCATTAACATTGTGTCTTTGGCAATTTTTTTAGAATTCTCATGAGTTTGCGCTCCATATTACGCTAAAATGGACGCAATTATATATGGCTCGGTTCCATCAGAGGCATTCCTTCACCAGTTAGTATTGTATATCTTCAGTTATTTAATTAAATGTAGAAAATGCAAAATATGGTATGCCAAGGTCAACTTATACGAATATGAAAACTGCGCAAAAATAATTAAAATTTAAATTACAATCACGAATGAGCTCAAAAATGCGAAAAAGAATATTATTGCGATAGCGGCCTTAATTCAGGTCTGAAAGGGTATTCCATTCTCTGAGATCCATGTGAGACACTATGGGGTGATGTGTCAAAGGGACGGGGGAACCCATTCCACTAGAATCCGGGATGTGACTGCCTACTATTAACGACAACTTTGGTCCATCTCACGCCAGTTTTCGGAACTTTCTCAGCCACACTGGCTCATCTTCAGCGAACAATTGGTAAGGCAACTCCCAAGTGTGAGTTGGCAGGCAAATCATTCGCCGAAAATGAGCCAACTTCATCAGCTTTGACCCGACGATGAACTTATTTTCTCATCTATGGCCGGACGATAAACCAATGACTGGGGACTATGGGATATCGTAAATGAAACTTCTCCGTACAACTTTGTCGAGTATTAGCGGAGGAACTCCGTGGTTCTTTCGATGGTAGTTATGTCGCTCCAGCATCCCGCTCTTGAAATCCACTTTTCGAGCTAGAAGGATCCGATCGAGGGTCAGGACAAATGCATGTTTCACTCGGTTTCGTAGTGAATATGGCTAAGACCTCACAGACGACTTTTCCCTTCGTCTGAGAGAGCGGTCGAGGAACGTAGGTTTCGTTGAAATACCCGCTGACATTCCCGGGTGGATCGTAATTGCAGACGACGTACCAGGTCAGACCATCTTTGGACTTCGCTCTTGCGACCCCCAATCGACGGCTCTTCGTCCACACCAGCTGCGTGAAGTGCCCTAATAAAATAAAAACTATTGCTGTAGCCTCTTCCCTAGTAGCGCATAACATGGAAATGATATTGCTTCAACATTCGGACGTTGAATCAACGTTAAATCAATGTTGAGTCAATGATAAATGCTATTGGGGAGGAGTCCTCCCAAGAACCGAATATTATCCACCTGGTTGAATGATAATGTGAGTAAGATGATTTTATAATTATGGGGTTGCTCTACCTCTTGGAAATCCACCTAATCATTACCTGATGTTTACATCCAGATTATGGATTTCGTCCTTTGGTTGATTTTGAACCAGGTGGACATACCTCCATCTGTTTAATTTATACCATTAAATAGTCCCATATCCAGCTTGGAGGGGAGTGACCGTTTTGCAATAGAAATAGAGAGGCACACTGACCCGTTTCCTCCGAACATTTCGTTCCAAATGTGTAGAGGTGGATTTCGTTGTACCAGGCGTCGACAGCATTCTGGGCACTTACTGGAAGTTTTTTCGTCGACCAACGCATGTACAGATTCTCCCCGTATTCTTTCCCGTCCTTTCTCCCTACGTCTGATCGGTGAACCATTCGATTCCATTTGGCCAGCTGCCGCGCCCATGCCAGACTGTAAAGGCTCAACTGAGGACCAACATTTAGAAATATATTTCATTTATTAATATTACCCTAATGAGCTGTCTAAAAGTATGATGTAGGTGATGCATCCTTGCCTTCGCTGAGCTCTGATAAATGTCCAATTAAAATGTTTGTTAAACGTAAATCAGAATTTTAATAAGAAATTGAATATAAATCGATGTTTTATTATTATGTGCACGTTAAATTTCTCGCTCTCCTATTTATATACATTTTTTTTTGTATCAACATTCATATATACATTTAGAAAAGTCCTGGAAATGCATAAGGAAAGTCTTACCTCCTTCGCAAGAGACAACGGGGGAGAGCCATGCTTCGCCCTGTAATCGTTGTGCAGCCGGAGGACTTCTTTAGCGAATGCCGCTTCGGACGATGGGGCCATGGCGGCAGGGATGTTTTTATCCGGTTCAGGACTTAATGGCTTCCAAGGGCAGATCGGCGATGGTTCTAAATCTACATATTACCGGGGAGCTCCTCTCAGGCCGAAGAGACACGTCCGAGGAAAAATATTTTAAGTTTCTATGGAGGAAATACCAGAATTCATTCAGCGTTGCAAATACAGTAATGATCTCTAGGTAAATTAATGCCATGGAATCATAATTGATTGGACGCTATCATGAATTCCCGGGGTTGTATGACCTACCACTCCCAGTCCAATTCACCAATAGGGTATTATTTTTATCTGAATTACAGTCCTTGTATTTTTTTTACTAAAACAAAGCAATGCCAAGCTACCTGCATTAAGACTTGGCGGTGAAGTAGATCTCCAGAGTTTGAAAAGGATCGGAAGCCAGAAAATTGATCATGCATCTTCGGGTTAAACGCACTTCCAGCTTGATTATCCTGATTTAACAGACTTCAGCATTCTTTTCAGTTCTTTAGAGTCCTTGTTCCTGTCCCATCAACTTTCCAAATGATGCCTTCAAGGAATCATACTTCTTGGCCAGATTGTTTTACCAGACATTTCTTTCAGCATCATTCTGGCTTCATTCCTTATAAACTCGCATGGGCTTGATCACCGCCAAGGTTTAATGCGATTAGCTTGGAATTGGCTTGTTTTAGGCCAAAAAAATGGGAAAATGAATAAATACAGCTTTGTTCTTATTACCAACAGCTGCCTATGCTCCAACTCGAACAAGAGCTGGGGACAGCTGCAGCACTTTTCTGGAAGGAGGCCGTCATATTCATTCAGATGACGCGACAACCTCGTGCTATCATAACATATAATTTTATATCTGCTGCAATAACGTCATTTGATATGTAGCTAAAATGTTACTCACATCAATGCATTACAGCCTGATATCCATGTTGAAGTCGATAGCTTGGTTTATTTTTAGCAACCTTGTATGTGACGACGAAGGAGCATGAGAAAGTGACACGATGCTCCTGGCACTGAGACATTAGCCACATTACACAGTAATCTAAGAAGATTTTGGAAGTTTTCCCTCTATGTAATGGGTCTCTTACAAAATTTTCACATGCATCCACCTGGCTGAACAACTAGGTGAATAGAGGTTTGATTTGGAATTAAGTGGATGCCCCACCCGTTGGGAATTCCCCTGCCCATTCGCACAGTCGGGTGGATTTTCCATCCAAGTGGATTTTCCCCAGGGTGAAAATCGAAAATCGAGGGTAAGACGCATTGTCTTATCTCCATGCCAGAGTTTTCCCTCCACAGAGATACTATTTGCCTGTTTATCTCTAAAATTACTGGCCTAAAGGCAACGAGTATTTCATGCAATACGTTCATTCAAATTTGTGGTTAGGAACTATACATCAGTAAATATATGATCAATAAATACTTATTTTGAAAGATCTTCCAAGAGCATATGATCTAACCCTAATTGTCTCATTTTCGTGGCTTTCATTGTTAGGTAAGAGGTAGACACAACTGCCAGCTCATTCCAGCCCTCTTTTCAATTTCATTGCAATAAACGATGAAACGCAGATCGTTTTTGAGTCAACAGCATTGAGTCACAGAGATCACGATTTTTAAGTGAGAAACATACTCCATACTAGTAGTTTCATATTTTCCAATGCCCGAAGGGGAAGAACAAAAAAAAACAACTTCTTGAAGCTCAGGACGCTTGGATTTCTAGTGTCATAACAGCCTCAATGTCCTAGAGTATATGGTGGCATTCGCAATTTTACCTTTCAGGAGGCAATCAATCATGATGATTCAATTTTGTAAAGCTGAAAAGGCATTCGAAGCATAATTATCCTGAACGTTTTCCAAGAGCTGACATTTTCGCGTTTCTCGTGGGTCTATCGTTTTCATTAGTTCCAAATCTTCATTGTTAAGGAGGCTATAGTTCCCGCATTCTTATTACTTTTCTTTATGAAATAAATATTTTGGACCTAGTCTGGTACCCTCAATGTTTCACCAACAACTTGAATTAAATTACATACCTCGGTCGGCTTGCTCATAGGAAAGGTATCGACGAAGGCCGTGAAATCCAATGGATGGTGGCAAAACTCTGGCAAGGGAAATAAATAATCACTTTCTGGCTGTGCCTTGAGGTCGAAGGGGATTAAATTTTGTCGCGCATCTTTCCCCGATTCGTATCGATTCGAGCACATATTCCTCATTGGTGGGCAAGGTAACCCATTCCTGCCCTTCACCTTTCGAACCCTGAGCAACGAGTATACCTTGCCATAGGCAAGAATTACGACATGGCACCCACGGAAATCATGTACGGTGGAACGCAGCTGAGATCCACACAAATACTGGCTTCAAGTTTTATCAGTTTCCTTATCGGAGGAGTACTGCATAGCCTCTTCTTGGCGATTCTGCGATGAGTCACTCTCTCCCGCTCTCTTATCGGCCATGTCGTCGTAGATATGGTCCTGCCACGAAACTATTCATATTTAAATACATTCAGCAATCATGACGCATAATGACCATTCTGCCAAATGCTTTTGCAGCAGGCCGATTTCAAATTGTAGATGCTGCAGGCCGTCATCCATTTAAGGCAAATTAAGTCAAGAAATCGGTGAAATGCTTTATTATGCACCATTTAATATCCCACAGCACCATTCGAGAAATCAAGACTTTTGACTCCTTGTATCATTCAGGTTGCAGGACAAAACAATAAACCAATTGCTATGAACAGGAACGCCACCTTGTTGAAGTAATGTTTCTCCTTCAAAACCACAGTGTTTAAGTATTGTTGCACGAGTGGAATGTCTACTGTAGTAATGCAAATTAAAGCAGGGGTCGTTTACGCCTCATCTTGCTACTCTGGGTTTCGAAGGGCCTCACTTGATGCAATGGGATGGTTCAGGACTTCCTCATTAAAGAGTAACACTGTGTGATCCCATGGACCTCGATGGGTCTAGCTTACGCCTATGATAATGTTCAGATAAGACAGTCAATGGTTCCAACGTTAAATCTGGATAGTCGCCGTAATAGTTCTCCATAATGGTACGTTCGTTTAGCGTTCACCACTCCTCTTACCACTGGCCTCGTGAGCCTCATATAAGACCCGTGATTAATATTTAAAAGTTGCTAAAAGCTAGGTTTAGCTTGCAAGAAGCGAGTTGCCTCGGTGACAAACGCACCCCAAAACCTTCGATCTATGACGCTCTTTGCCTTAAGCAAGTTTGGCCCATGACATCCTCAGATCATTGCATGCCTACTGAGGTCATAGGTTAAGAATGTCTTCATGTAGGCATTCATCAATGTAGTTCATCTTATTACAATATCTGTGCCCTCCTTTCCAACCTATTATTTCAATCTCTTAGTACAGGGGTGTCAAACGCAAGTCGGATCCGGCCCGGAGAGGTGGTTCATCCAGCTCGCCGTCTGTTCTTGAAATTTCTGCTTGGACTATCTATTAGCAAGCATTTCTGTGAGAATTTATGAGTGCGGTCCATAGGCGTCTGCAGAGTAAGGAATGTGGCCCGCCGACCGATTTGACTTTGACACCCCTGTCTTAGGAGAAACGCCAACCTGGAAAATAACCTTCAACGGGATGTTCAGTAGCGTTAAAGATGTCGGAATTGAGAGTTACGAATAGACTCCATAGAGTAAAGACCTAATCCTGCACCGCCTGAATCTCATTCAAATCATTTTTCGATTTAAATTTATTATCCCTTGGATATACCTTGCTTATTCTATGCTGGATATTTCTGAAAGTCATATCTAACTATGCCATAGTTTTTCTGTCTCCTTTAGAAACCATAGGAATGTACAGGAGAGTGTGAATGTAAATATGAAGAAGGTACAGCTGGGCCAATATTTTGCATGTTCCATAACCGCAAATAATTCATGCTAGTCATTATTTTGTTTACGCGCATGTGGACACTTAGGGATTACTTTGGTTTGATGAAGTTGAGTTGAAATTCGAAGAAAATATAGAAATGCAATGTCTAGAATATTTTCCGATGTCTTCAATGAAAGGATTCAAGAGAAGTTGTCAGCATTGCAATTAATGGTACTCATCAAAAGCTCTGTGGGTTCCCATCCATAGAAAAAAATAGACATAATTCACAGCTTAAGGATTCTACTTTCATTTTCATGAAGCAAAAGGTTCAACTCATGGAGCATTTAAAATCTCATGTTAAGACATTCCTTGACAACTCGTACACTATATTCAAACCTAAACCTATATGAAGTATTCTGGGAGAGTGTTTTCCATCGGGATTTAGTTCAGATTTGTGCATTGCCTCTTGTAGTATTGAGACATAAGTAATCTCTAGAAGATGTTCATGACCCTTTCACCTTAACTGTAATTCCTCTTAAACATGAAGTAATCAGAACTATCCGGGCAATTACAAGTCTCATGAGAATAGCGCATGAATTTGGCCGTGAGACTATCGTGAGAATCCTCATGAGTGCCATGAGACTCATCAGATCCTCTAGGCCTAATTCACATGTGATTCTCGTGATATTACAAACCATCATGTATGCCACTCTGTTGCGTTCTACTACTAACTTCTTATTATAACGGTTTAAATAAGCGTCATTAATTATACTCGTGTATTACGTAACTATCAGTGACCAACATTTTGGCTATCTAAAAAGGAATGAATTGAAGTTGAGATAAATTTATTCATAGGTTTTCATTCGAAAAACGATCAATAATGTGCCCTATTTCAGTACATCGACAATATATGCACAGGAACGCTATTAGAGGAACGGACACATGCATTCATTCCTTGCCAGGGTTCATATGAGCGAGAGAAAATAAAACCAAATATTTGTCGTGGATGAATCCATGCCTCATTCCACAAGTGTCGGCATGGGGAATGTGAAAGGACTTAACGAGATTCGTTTTAATTTTGAAGTTTCATTTAGGGCAAAACAATGTTATTACAGAGCCAAGTGTTTCACGTGAATGGCATTTTCCCCATACTGCTGTGCTAGGGCGAAATGGTGTAACTTAATGCGAGAGCATACTCGATCTCCCCTTGCTAAATGTGATCAGTATCGCTGACGGCCAAATCACGCTTTCAATGAATCCAACCTGGCAGGAAATGGATCTCCGACCACCTCCGACATGGATCCGCATTCTCTTATGATCCCGAGTCCCTTNTGAAAGTCATATCTAACTATGCCATAGTTTTTCTGTCTCCTTTAGAAACCATAGGAATGTACAGGAGAGTGTGAATGTAAATATGAAGAAGGTACAGCTGGGCCAGTATTTTGCATGTTCCATAACCGCAAATAATTCATGCTAGTCATTATTTTGTTTACGCGCATGTTGACACTTAGGGATTACTTTGGTTTGATGAAGTTGAGTTGAAATTTGAAGAAAATATAGAAATGCAATGTCTAGAATATTTTCCGATGTCTTCAATGAAAGGATTCAAGAGAAGTTGTCAGCATTGCAATTAATGGTACTCATCAAAAGCTCTGTGGGTTCCCATCCATAGAAAAAATTAGACATAATTCACAGCTTAAGGATTCTACTTTCATTTTCATGAAGCAAAAGGTTCAACTCATGGAGCATTTAAAATCTCATGTTATGACATTCCTTGACAACTC